TTAGGAAATGCAACTTGTACAAGAAAACAAAATGAGACGCAATATAGAGTGGTTGCAGTTGTAGAGTCTTCTAGTCTGGTCGGGGAGTTTTGTGTTTTGGATACATAAACCAAGAGAAAACATTGTGTTGCTTACACACTATATATATCTTCACCATCATTTTGTCGGATCATAAGCAACAAAAATAAATAACTCACACAAATTACTTATTTGTGTGATTCTTTGTAGTTTTCTTACACACACAAATAAAAAAAACTACTCGTTCAGGAATAACCACTAATGAAAAAGATAACTTCATTGTAACACAATATATGTCTTACAATAAAAGTAACGACCATTAAGCTATTACATTTGGCCACTCTCAGATAGAGATATGCAAATTATTTATAGAAAAATTGTGCGAACATTCTAAGGAACAAAATATTGATCCAGCACATTGGAAAACTATTGGGTGTGGACAATGCTTTTCACATTTGGAGCAAATAGGTCGAGACATGTGATTATTGTTGGGTAGAACACCTACATGTCTCCCGATGTGGGAAAACGACGAATCATTCTTCATATATAAGTCCCTCCCAATCAAACAGTTGATGTGTAGGGTGACACAACAATACTCAGTACACATATAAAACCCCTCTTTCGAATTAATCTTTCTTTCACAAGCTTCACACCAATACGTCATGGTACTTGTGTCCTCTCCATAGAAAAGAGTGAGGAAATGCTTATCATGCTTATACTTCACCTTTTTAGGTAAAGTAGCACACTTGAAACACAAAGTAAAGCCATCACACTCATCAATGCAATTGAATGTTTCCTTTGTGTAAAACTTACTTTCAAATTGGCAAATAGAGCAGATTCTCCTCTCTCCTGGTCTGGATGTTAGGAATAAATGATGCTTATGACTTTCATGAACTAATAGCTCAGAAATTGTGGCACACTGCACATGTAGCTGGAAATCACATTCTTCTTTATCACATTCATAGAAGAAACCAACGGTGGACAACCTAAAACAAGCTGAACACCTATTCATATAGTTCATGACATTTTCCACTATAGCTAGAATGAGAGGATGTGGATGTATCGGGTGATCTATTTTGTGAGAAAGATTTGCACATGTTTCATGCAAAATAAACTAACATTGCCGACAAGAGTAGAAGTTACTGAAATAGATTGGAGTGATACATGCTTGACATTGCTTATTCTCGTTGTAATCTCTGCTTGTGTCCTCGTCAAGTCTTAAATGATGATGTTCATGGCTGAAATGTCTTATTACTCCATCACTTATCCTTACAAACGGCTCAACTACTTCTTCAATTTCTTCTGGCACTCCCTCAAGATCTATGCATCCCACACATTGCTCTGTGTGGCACACCTTGAATGTGCTGCATACAAACAACGGTCCTTGATGCAAGAGTAACCCCCATAATAGTTGTCTATCTTTCTGTGACAAACACCACAAGACCAATTTCCTTCATCAAAACATGGAGTATAATAGATATGATGGGGATGGCGAGATATCCTTATAACACGAGGTAATTTGATACATCTGAGATGAACCACAAAGTCACAAGAGGGACACATATATATTGGAGAGCTTGAATCGGCCAAAGCACAGACATTGCAAGTTAAAGAAGCCCGTCTTGGAAAGAGAGCAAGTGTATGCTCATGCCACTTTGTAGGGGGTATATAAAAGACTGACGGTTTCTCCGCACAAGCTATGTTCATATCATAATCGCAGACAGAGCAGTAATAAAATACCTTTATGAGATCTTCATCACAACAATAGCATTCTCGGGTATCACGACCCAGTTTCAACACAAGCTGAAGAGAATGTTTCAGATGAAGAGGGTGTTTGATCTCCACATGAGCCTTTTCACATTCTTTATGGCACTCGCCATTGCAAGTTTTGCAGCGGAAATGAGTAGTGTCTTCTCCTCCTGTTAAGCTGAATTTTTCCCATTTTCCAAGGAAACACTTCCACATTACAAAAGACATCAAACTCCTCTCCGATACTTTTCTAATCACATGAAATTTTCCTTTACGCAAACGTAGTTCTACTTCAGGGCACAAGGAAATAAATTGCTGCAACTTTGAATTCACAGGGATGAAGATAGAGACTATTTGACGGATGAGGAATATGAGATCTGGTTCTGGCCTGAAATTCAATGTTTCCCCAACTAGTAACGTGAAGTTCGAATCAATCTCCAGCTTCTGGTCCGAATCAACAGAGACTTTCTGAAAAATGAGTGATATGAGCTCTGACAGCGGCTTCGGCAGGGAATCTAAATCTGTATAGTTGAAGAGAGAGACTGTTAGAGTGACGAGTGACATGAGCTTTGACTCCGGCTTGGGCTGCGAATCCAAATCCATAGATCTAACGAGAGAGATGATTTCAATAATCAGTGGTATGATATTCGACTCCCACTCCATATCAGGATCCCAATCTGAATATGACCCTGAGTCCGGATCCGTATTGACCTCGAGAGCCAGTAGTTGAGAAATGAGTGAAATGAGTTTTGACTCCGATTCTGGATCCATAGAGTTTGCCGAGTGATAGATTGATTCTTTTTAAGAATATGAACGGCTCCGTATGTCGTAGAGTGGTATGTTTCTGAAGGCTAATAATCGTAAGCCATAAGAATTGAAGAAGTAGTTGAAGAAACTAAAGTGGTTTCAAATGATGGCGACGATTGTTGTTGAGTGACTTGAGTCAACACTTTCGTACAGAACAGAACTGATTTTAATCTTGGTTTAATTTGGTTTGGATCATTAGTTCTGGTTTTAGAATAGAGATGAACAGTTGAAGAGAGAGATTTTATGAGTGACGAGTGATATGAGATTTTGAGTATATGTTAAGAGAAAGTCCTCCACCAAATGATATAGAAACAAGTTTTGCCAATTGTAATACATATATATCTATATATAATAACAAACTGAATAAATGCCAATTGCACTTCGAAAAGTTGTGTCTTTTTTAAATTTGTGGTTGCGTCTTTTCATTACCAATGGTTGTGTCTTTTTGTTAACTATAATTTGTGTCTTTTCAAAACTATTTATATCTTTTTGATAAACTGGGTTCTTCATCTTTTTTTGAATGAAGTGTAAAGATGACGGCAAAAGAAAAAAAAAATTGTCATGAACCCTAACCTAACCTCTTTAATTATTTTTAGTTTCTTAGTTTTTTTCTTATTTTTAATAATTATTTTATCATAATTGTTTTTGTGTTTAAAGATATACGTAATGTTTTGGGTTTGACCTTACTTGTTTGGGATTAACCATACTTATAAACAATAATCAAAGCCTTATTAATTTTTTTTTTTTGAAATGGGGCCGTAGGCGAAAGCCTCAAAACTGAAAGAGTAGGCACGGTCCTGATCGCAGAGATGTTTCTAAATTTATTATCGGTTTTTGGGAAATGGAGGGACAATTTTGATGTTTCTGATTCCTGTAATTAATTGTCTGTTTCTTCTGGGTAAGTTTTGTGGCAATTGTATAATGTGTATACATATAATTGGTGCTGTAATTCTTATATATATTTACAGAAATAAAATATCTTTTTATAATATAAATATTTTTATTACAATATTTTGTTATATAATAACATCAAATAATTACGTTTAAATTTTTGAAATATTCCATCGAAGTACTAATCCAGATAGATCCCAATATCTTTTTGTAAACCAGATCCCATTAGTTTTGGCAATACATAAACTTAGCTGGCCATATCGCTCATAGTTTGAATGATACGTTTCAATAGAAGCTTCAAATTTATGGCCAAGAATCATCACTAAAAGCAACAACATAAAAAGGTTCCTTAAATTTTAATGTGTAAAATCCTATAAGGCCAAGTGGAATTTCGCCACAATTAATTGCGAGATCACTCTTAGGATCGAGTTTATTATGAAATACTATATGATTTTTCTTACATTTAGCTTCATTTAATCCGAAATACATAACACTGACTAGCATAAAGCTCCTCATATTTTGTTATCAAGTTTTTGGGTGCGCTCGCATTTACTTCTCCCGCTCAATTTCGTAGCCTCCAGACTCGTCTCAGATTCTTACTTGAAGGTGTGAAGATTCTCTCTTTTAAGTTTCTGATCTTCATCTTCTTAGGATTCTTCATCAAGTTTCTATTATAATGCCTTGCTCTATTCTGTTTCACTGTTCTGATTCTCGAGTTTGAGATCCGTTACCATGAGTCTGACGGATTCTTCTAGTGAATCCTCTTGTGATCGTTGTGATATGTTTACTCAGTGTTTGTTTCGTCGTGTTGTATCGATTCTTTCTCTGATTGCAGTTCCTTGGTTGATGAATGTAACTTAATTTATGTAGCTTTGCAAAAAGGTGAGTCTTTTAAGAGTTAAATCTATTTGTACGCCAACTGTTCGACGAATTGCCCAAGCGAAAATGTTTTTTTAGATATGCAGTTTTTTACTCAGTCATCTGGTGAAATGGTCTCTTCGTTTTTCTCATTCTCTTCTTCTCGTGGCAGGTATTTGAGTGAGATAGGAGAGTTGCAGATCTTTTGGTAATGAAGATGATGGAATAGTGATCTCATTAAAGGACTTGTATGAGAAAATTGCAGGGGAAAATAAACGGAATGCTCTTGTATTCTATAGACAAAGTCACAAAACTAAAGTAACTCAAGAGTTTACATTCACTTGGAGTACAATTTTCTGATTTTTCTAGAAAGCATAGACAAAATCTTTCTGTTAAAGATCTAAGGACTGACAAGCGCTTGCAGGTCGTTTTCATCGGCAAACCACTTTGGTATTATCGTTGGCAGAAATGGGTACAAGACGTCGTATGTTTTTATCATCGTCGTTCTTACAACTCCACTGGCATCGCAAATATCTGCAACTCATTCATCAAGTGTAGATATAGTTAAGAGTTAGACAAAGAACGGAGCTTTCAATGCATGTTAATTAGTTAGAGAGATTGAATTGCAACCTTCGAGCAGCTTCTTCTCATGCTTCTTCTCTGGAGAAAGTTGAGCAATGACGTATACGAGTACGGCTGCAACTGATATGGGTGAGCAACCTCTGTATATAATAAGGTTTTTCAAGTCATGCTGCAACATTGTGTATATATATATTTATGCTTACTCATTCACTCAATTACCTATTAACAACACATTCAGAACACTGCGCAGCTTCTTGAGCAGCTTTAACTGCTTGGCCACCCATTTCAAGGGCAGAGCAAAAACGGTTCTGCAGATGAATGTCAGTGTGAATGAGAAGCACGATGCAGCAAAAAGCTCTCAAAGGCCAAGAAAACTACTCACGATAAAGTCAGAAGCTTTGATCTCCATGAACCAGTTCTTGGGGATCTCCAGTTTCTCAGCTATGAGCCCAATCGCTTGTGAAACCTGCGCAATCGGGACTCCATTGGCAACAGAGGATATTTCTACACGAAAACAAAAAGAGGATTCAACTACAATGGCGTCAAGAAAAGACACAGAGTCAGTCTTTCACGTTTCAAACTATATGTATACCTTTCAGAGAATGAGTCATGTCCTCTATTCGACAGGCAATGTAGATACTAGCAGCACGAAACGCAATTCGTTCCTTTTCTTTGCATTGATTCTCCACTTTCTTATAAATCTCATTAGCCTTATCCTACAGATCAAGAAATACTCCAGTTTCAATCTTTGTCTCTATCATAACTAGATATTGTTTATAATCACGCAACAAACTAGAAAAAACTTACCTTGATTGTCGCAAGAAGACCCAACCTGTAAAAATGGATACTTTAGCTCATTCACATTCTAACTTCTCTGTTACAAGAAACGAAAGAAGAAGACCCCCCCAAAAAAAACGCTACCTATCGGACATAGCCGCGACGGAGACGGGATCAGATTCAGAGCCAAGGTTCTGCGAATCTCCGAGATCGTCGAATTTCCGCTTAATGCCGGCGGTGGAGGTGACGGAGACGGAATCTGAGCTACCATGCTGCGAATTTTCAAGAGTAGGGGAGATGGTTTCATCAACGGAACTGTTCTTCCGCTCGGCGGTGACGACGGAGAGACCAAAATCAAAGCCACACTCGGAGCAACTTGTCTTCTTCGTCACGCGATTGATCACAATCCCCGCCACCGTACTGTTACAACCTCTGCAACTTTCACCCAAGTCCGACATCTTCGAAGCCCTAAAGTTGATATCTTTATTTTACGATCTCTTCTTCTTTCAGTTGAATCAAAGTGGGAAGAAAGAAAGAACAGAGTGGAGGGAGTGAAACAGAATAAACGGTTGCTTCCCATTTTATAAGGGGGGTAAGAATTCAGCTGTGTTATGGTGCACTGTAATTGTTAACAATCTTGAACGTAGATATGGAATGCGACCCATTTGTATTTAATTGGAGGGCGCACAATTTTCTCCAGATTTTTATCTGTGCGCTAGCTAATTAGATCAGGGAACTTTGTGCCGTTTCAGAGCCAAGTCACCAAAAGTAATGCCGTTTTTTTTTGTCGTTTGCCTGAATCAGCTCTTACCGTCTTCTCACGTGACTTTTGTTGTATAGCAATAATCTAGAAGAACAAAATAATAGTTGGCAATAAAACATATAAAACTTGTGAAACATATATATAAGGATCGGTTCATAAACCCAAGTCGTGCGAAGTATCCATTGACAATCTAATTTGACACCCATGCATGCATATAAAATCTATACTACTGCAGAAACATATCAAGCTCAGTAGTCAGTATGAATTAATTAAAAAGGCAGATATGTTTACTCCAAAAACATACAATCATGCATATAAAATCTTTAGTTTGTATTAATATTAACTAGTTTACTCGGCAAGGGTTGACATGAAATGTTTTTAAGGTAGGTAATCTTTACTCGGCAAGGGTGAAAAAGGTTATTTAAATAACCAAATCATATCTATATATACGTATCTAAAAAGAGTGAAAAAGGTTATTTAAATAACCAAATTTTTAGGGTCTTTCTATGGATGAGTGGCCATGACATTATAGAGTTTGAGGAAAAAAATTGGCTCTTTTTAAAAATTTGGTTATTTAAATAACCTTTTTCACCCTTTTTAGATACATATATATAGATATGTACTAACTTGGTAAAACGAAAATCTAAGTAAATCATTAATCGATTTAAAACCTAATCTAAATATTTATGGTAAATGTTTCCTATTCCGAAAAGAAATACATACTGTATATGATGCTAATTAGTTTCAATAGGAACACATTATTAGTTGAAATCGATATATTTATAATTATATATATATCCATATATATATTCATCTCTTTATTCTCAAACACAAAGCAAATTCGGTTTTTGAAAGCATATCAAATTATAAAGAGAAGCTATGGTAAGTAATACGGTTCCGGATGAGGAAAATAAATTTTGGGCGAGCGAACCCCAATATTAAACGACCTTCCATGCATACGTTGGTGAGTTCAAACATACTTCAATTTTAGTTTCCAATATTTAATGTTCCCTCTAAGAAATTATATATACTTATTAAACTAGAAATTCACTACTAAGAATTTGATTAACAACTGTGGGTTTCAGAGAATAAGATTTTTTATTAATAGCTGATTATAAGAGATAGGCTTAACCGAGAGGTTATGCCGAAGTGAAAAGAAAGTGTTTGCGAAGTAAACTATAAAGCGTTAGAGTTCTTGTTTTTTTAGCTCTGCTTCTCTCTAGATTATCTGAGTTATTCTCTTGAGCTTCGGGGTCTTCTTATTTATAGGGATAGGAGGTCGGTTGCTCCGAGCTCTTTTTCCTTTTTCCCTTTGGTGAATATTTCCATATTTGCGATATGGAAATATCCTTTATTCTTCGAAAAATATGAAAATCCTCCTATATCCTTTGAGTTACTCTGATGCTTCCGGACTTCCAAAATTATCCTTTAGAGTTTTCTTTTTATCCGAGCTAGGTCGGCGCGGTGCTTCTGGTCTTGATGGGTTTAGGTTATTACTAGAGAAAGCCTTTTAAGAAATGTGCTCATTTCTCCTCTAACAGTAAGTCCCCCCCCCCCCCCCCCCCCCCCCCCCCCCCCCCCCCCCGGTTCGGCGAGACTGATTGCAAATCAGGTTAGCGGACTTCATGAAGTTAAGCGGGTTTGAGCTCGCAATAAGCATTAGTTCGTCAAGAGCGTTTCTTCGCGATGGCCAGCTCGACCCATTTTTTCGTGGATTTGACACGTGACACTTCCTTTGAATTAATTATTAAATATTTTGACCCATTAGGGTTTTGCCTAAAGCGGGAAAGGCGAAAGGTTTTCCAGACGGCGAGATTGTGCGAATCTCGACTCGCGTCCTTTTAGGATACTGTTGATATTTCTTTCGATTTCATTTCACTGAATATTTATCTCTCCGTCTTCTTGCTCCAGAATTTTCACTCTCCGTTGTTTTTTTCTGCGAAAATTATTTCGTCGCTGCAAAAATTCTTACTTTCTTGCCGATCTTCCTTCTTCTTCTATTTTCCCAGAAATTTCTCTTTTCGAAAATATCGATCTCATCGCACAGTTCTTCTTTCGACGACGACGAGATTTCTCTCGCCGCATGGCGAGCCTAGGTTAGTCCCGCCCCCTCTTCTTCGAATTTCGGGGGGTCTTCAGACCACTGAGACGAGATCTCGCCGAACATCCCTGATATAGATTCCGAGATGCAATCAGAATGCTCCGAGCCAGTGAGTAGGATCGAGGGTCTTCCGCAGAAGATCGCGATGTTGAAGCACAAGACCGGCATCAAGGACGAGAGGACCTGGATGACCATGGAAAGGCTCCAGGAACTTCGATCGAAGTGCTGTTTTCCCAAAGGAGTTGTGCTCTTGCTTCCTCAAGTTCACGAGAGAGTTACAACGCCACCGGAGGGCTACTTTTGCATTTACGAATGCCACTTCGCGGAGTTTGTCCTCCAATTTCCAATTTCATTACTTCTCCGCTACTGCAAACGGAGAAAGATGCTAGTGGCGCAGCTCTCTCATGCCGTAATCCGCCATTTCAACAGTTTAATGGCGGTTGCCCGAACTGCGATGGTGCCTTTCAATTGGGACATTTTTGAAAGGGTTTCAATCCTGAAGAGCGGGAGGCTAAATCGCGGGGGATGGCGCCACTTTTATACGACTTTGAAGCTCGGCATCATCGGTGGAGATCCAACGAGTAAAGTCCATGAATGGGACCACTTTTTCTTCTATGTGAAGGTTAATGAAGCGTCCACCGGCAGCTCCGAACTGGACTTATTCAGGTCTTGGAAGTCGAAACCTTGTAAGCCGAGCTAAACCTCATTAGTTGTTTTCTGCTTTTTCCTTTAGCTAATTTTGAGATGGTAATAATGTTGCCTTCCTTTTGTCAATGCAAATCAGCCTCGGGAATGACCTGTTTGGCTTTGATGTGGACGTCGAGAAGCTGCGTAACCTGAGCCAGGGGCTGTGGCCCAAAAAGGAGAAGAAGGAAGCTAGCGAAAAGAAGAAATCGGCCAAGCCGGCCGAGAAGCAAACTAAGTCTTCAAAAGCAGGTTTGTTGCTGGCGTCGAAGTAATTCTTTTCTTTCCTCTTTTTTTAGCGAGGTGTCTTATTTGCATGTTTTTTGATATTTTCAGCCGCTAAGAGTGCGTCACAGCCGAGATCCGAAGGGGTTGGTCAAAAGAGGAGAAGGGCGGCTCCGGCAATGGGAGCAGATATCCCTGCGAGCTCCCCTGCGAAGCGGAGAATGACAACTCCTCAAGATCCGCCCATTTGGGTGGATTTTGACGAAGCCGAGCCGACTGCGGAAAATGAGACTCTTGCGAGGTAAACCCTTATCCTCATTATATGTTTTGTTTTGGCGAGCCGAGATGATTTTCTGACAATTTTGTCGCTGGTATAGTTTCTCCAGGGCCACAGCGCGGTAAAGGTTGAGGCAAGCCAAGGCCGAGAAGGCTACAGAAGATCCTCAAGGCGGAGCGTCTCAAGAGACCACTCCTCGAACCGAGGATGGGGGCGATGGAGACTCCCAGAATGCTACCGCGAGCTGTAGCGAGGCTGTTCCTTCTCCGTCCCGGGCTAACATTTCTCAGAGTCCCAGGGTTCAGGATACAGAAGATACAGGTCATCCAAGGACCGAAGAAGCCGCTGCGGCTCGTCAGGAGGCCGAACTTCCACCCAAGGGTTCTGCTTCCCCAGAAGGTGCTGGTGCTCCAGGTGCTGATGGTGCCGGTCCAAGCGCTTTTGTCGAACCTAAGCAGGAAGATGATCTTTGATTACAACCCTCATCACTTCAGCTTGAAGTGGGATGGAGCTACTCCGGCAATGCTCAGCCGCGATTTCACCGCGAATCTGATCTGGAAATGCAGAAAGAACCCAAGGTGGGGTAAAGCTTTGCGAGAGCTGAAGTTGGCGGAGTTGATATCCTTGGCGAATCATCTGATAGCTCGGGTATATATTTATTATTTGGTGCTAGTGTGTTTCTGCTTTGTTTTATCGCGCGTTTCTAACAGTAGATCGTGGTGCAGGGTTTGGGAGCGTATATGTCCGCATTCGTGACATACGATAACATTTTTTGTCAGGAAGAGATGATGCTGGACATCCGAGATCAAGGAGCTCAAAAAGGCGGAAGAGGAGAATCAGCTTCTCAAAGATAAGTGTTCCTAGCTCGAAGGCACCACTGAAGCCTTTCGGGGCGAGGTGGCGGAGGCATCCCAGCTTTGCAAGCAAGTCGCGGCCCTCC